AGAGACATGGAGGGTCTTGAATCAGCAGTGAAAATGACACTTCTATTTTTAAGAAGCAGAACAGTGCTCAGACAGAGAACTAGAAGACGTTATAAAAAGGTTGCTACTGGGACTGCTACTATTTGTTGAAAGAATATACATCATGAGCTTTAAAGATATTTATATTCTGTGATTCACTAATATCCCTCTATGAATGTTTTGCAGTAAATGATTAAAAAACTAATGCTAGAAAAATGTCATTCAAAGATGTTCATACCTGTATTATAATAGCAAGATATTGGAAATAACTTGTAACTTCAGTAGCATAAAAGTGAAAATAACTTACAAACTGAGTAATTGAGGAATTTTAAAATGAATTGTGGTACATTTGTAATATGTAATAATATGGGGCCTTTTAAAATGAGTACAAAGAAATTTAACGATGGGAGGAATTGATCAACATTACAATAGTGGTATTTTTTGGAAGATCATCTTTTTTCATTTCACTGTATTGTACATTCTTTTTCTTTAGAGTGTAAAGGGCTAAGAGGATGATCAACAGGAAGAAAATAAGTCAGGGAGGAAAAGACTTCATCTAGCTTGGATATTATAGGTGCTACACTTCCCTTTTCCTAGAATTTCCCCCCCCCCTTCTCTTTTACTGGCAAACATCCAGATTAAACATAACCTCCGTGAAATGACCCCTGATTCTGCCTTCTGAGTGCAACCTATTGTTTATTCTTTCTGATTAAAACACATATTGTAATTGTGTGCTCTTATACGTGGGTTCCAAAAACTGTATTTCTTATAGTACAAGGTAACACGATAGTCTCATATGCCTTAGTAAACTGAATTGTCTATTAAATAAAAAGTTTTGGATACATATATGCTGAGTGAATAAATGCATGAAAGAATTAATAACTTTGTAAAATGAATACAATAGATTAAGTGATTTTTTAAGGAAGCATCTAGGTTTATGATGCTTTCCTCAAATATGCATATAAGTAAAGATTTCAATAAATATTTGCTCAACAATATATATGGAGTAAGTCAATTATTTAAAAAGTGAATTACTTTCATTTTAATTTTCTTTAATACATGTGTTGCATGGGTGCATATACCCTATTTATTGATTAATATACTGATATAGTAAGGGTTGTATTTAATTGTGTATATTCCTTAGAGAAAGGTGCTCTTAATAAGCATGCTAATTTAGTTCTCTATGCTTTGGGCCATCTAAGAAAAATCATTAATTTCTCATCTTATTCTGCATGAATAATTTTTAAACTCATTGATAAAACTCTTTAGTTATCATTAAGAATATCATTTCAGTATTTTTGTAGAATAATGCCATAATGTTTCTGATTTAGAAAGCAGAAATACGAGTTTTTATAATTCTGAGTGCATTGTGTATTCATAACAAGTACAAATGATATTTCCTAATTAATGTTAAGAAAAAAGGCACTTTGTCAATCTTGTCAAACAGTGTTTAGTTTTGGAAATGCAAACTAAGTCAGCTTACTTCCTTTCCCTAGCAGCGCTGCCACTGTTGTGACATTGTGTTTCATTTTGTAACCCATCTGCTACTTAGGCCAGATATGCATTTTCTGGATGCAATCTGTTGGTTTCCAATGGTTTACTACATGGTGGGCTCTATTGACAAGTAGGTGACAAAATCTTTGGCACAGTAACTGGTGTGGTGTCCTGTGGCTTGTCATGTGCTGTGCCCCCGTGTTGCATGAGTGTAATTTGCCATTTCCGTATTGCAAATATGGTGTATTTGCATGCACAGCTTATGTTCTCGTGTTATACATCCTGTATTCAAACTTCCTAAGCAGTAATCTGTTGTTGAATTAAAACAAATCTTGCTGCATGTGAATTTTATCACTTTTGTTTAGTTTCTAAAGCTATTTCAGTTTTGTGTTGTCTCTAGCAATAACGTTATTCCTATGGGCCTAGGGGTAGAGAAAATCTAACTGTTCAATGTTGCGATGCATTGATATCATTGTGGTAACTTCTGGAAATCTTCAAATAATTTAGAGATGCTCCTTTTCAGTCAGATTTATAAACTGGAGCATTTCCTTTAGAGCTTCCTTTATTCTGGTAACATATATCAGTCTATAATTTCTAAAAATTTGTTAATTAAAAAGTCAAATGTGTGCAATGTGTTAGTATTAAAATACAAATTCTTTTATATGGATGAACATGATTTATAAGAAATATAAAACTAAAGATCATAAAACTAATATGCCTATAAAATGTGCTAGCTTTCCATTAAAAAAAGTCAGCCAGAGCCTTCAAAACAAAATGCTAAAGTTACTAATCAAGAAATTTCATGCTTATATTTTGTCCTGTAGATTGAAAAAACAAAGTTTTAGAACTTTGGAAGTGTTTATTGGCTGTGGATACATTAAAGAGCAAACTGACTAACATTTATTTAACCTCTACATTAATATAGTTTGCATTATCAGTTTTCTTAATGCTAATCAACTAAGATGTAGTTAGCTGTACTAAAATAACTATTTAAATTCATAAACGTGAAATCAACCTATATTCTTCACTAGTAATGTTACTTTGAAATGGTAGTATTCTATTGAAATTCATTAGAAAAACAGAATATTTAAAAAATAAATAAATCTCCCATCTGTCTTTGCTGATGTAAATTATGAAATGAATTCTTTCTCCGTAAGAGTGTTTATGGTGAGGAAAAGAACCAAGAGGATCAAATTCCTATGATTAGAGGTGACACTGAATTGGCAACAAGTTGATCATTATTGAAGCTGGGTTGTGTAATTAGAATATGGAGGTTCACTGTGTTCTTCTCTTTCGTTAGTGTTTGAAATTTTCATTAAAAAAACAAAAACACCTTTGAATGAATTAAAACACTCACAAACAGTCCCATATATTCATACATTCACATTATAGTTCTCCTTGAAAAGGACGGCTGGGAAAACAGTAAAAAGGAAGTTGTTGCCATTTAGATTATCTTTTTTCATGAATGTTGTCTTTTTTTCTTAGGTGGCCATCTGGTGGCCAAACTGTGTAAAGCAACCGTGCTGAATTAAAAAAGTAGGCAGTGGCTTTCGGAAATAGGATAGTGTGGAGAAATCATGACAGATTAAAAAAAGGAAAAAAAAGAATAAAATGTAGCATTAAATGGATATAGAAATAAATAATTTAAGGTTAAAACCTGAAGAACAAAATGTTTCTACGTGGTTCTGAAATGCCATTCCAATTTTATTTTCTATAGATTTAAGCTCATATTTAATCATAATTACTAAAATCACTTGCCAAGGTTATATGTAAACTACAACAGCCAATATTTAGAGTATGGAATTAACTGATACATATAGATGTAGCTATTAGCCATTTAGCACAGGTACACAGAGTGAAATTTTTTGTCAAGTTTCAACTTCGTTGATTTATTATTGATGAAATAATTCATTTTTCCCATCATAACTTGTATCTATATATCCTTTAACAATCAAACTTACCTTCTATCACCTTATCTTTCCCTTTTCTTATATAGATAATTATAATGGAGAGATCATTTTTATTGAGGGGGAAAGATCATAAGAGCTGAAATAGAAAGTGATTTAAAATTATAGTAAGGTGGATCAAAGGCATATGACTTGGGCATCATTTTTATGGCCCATAAGGGACCATATCACATTAATTTTCCACCTACTTCTTTTTAAAAATGTATTTTGATATATGAACAATTATGAATTTCCAAGTTAAAAGAAGCATCCTAATAAAGTATTTCCAGGGATTAAACTTGATCATCGTATTAATTGGAAATTATGGCCCTGGCCCCGCTCATCATAGGAAATTTATTTGGTATAACATTCTGTTTCCACAGTTCTAGCCATAAAATCTCTGCCACAGAACATTATTCCTGAGTCAAGCAAAATATATATATATTTTTCTGGACTACTCCTGGGGATCTTGGACTCAGAGCTTTGGTAATACTCTCTCACTTGATGTGGCTAGTTCAGCCAATCATATGCTTGGAAAAAGATCCTCAGGGAACTGGCCTGCAATTTAAGAATCTAAAAGAACTACTTTTCTTTAAGTTCTCCACTTCCTATTTTAAATCAGAACATGTGGGCATCAATTAGCCCAATTCTCTGTCTTCAGTCAACTCTGTACTTAGGACATTCTTACACTCCTTCAAGTTTAGTCTCCTTTATCTGATTCAGTTATATTTTTCTAGTTTTATGAAGCAGAGTCAGGGAGATAGTGGTTTCTTTGTTTCAGCTTTAATGGCAACATTTTCTTTTAATTCGATGGGAGAACGATAGTGTTTATCGGTGATAAGGGAGAAGACTATTATAATTCATAGGAACTTCTATCCTGGTTTAGCAGTTATTTCACGCAATCAAAGAAATGAGGTTATTAAATCACTGGCTCAAAAAACTTTAGGCTGACTGAATGGTAAGTTTGAATACAGCTGATATTTATATATTTTTCATGCTCGTGGCTGTGTAGAACCAATCTTTAACACATAGCTTTACACAAAGAAATAATACACATTTAAAAATAAACCACAGTTTAATATTTCTTTGTTGGGCTAGACCATCTAAATTAATATAAGTACTCATTTCTACTTTTACCAAAAGTATCATAAGGATTAAAAATATATATAAATGTCATGTCTTTGAAGTAGTGTTCTAACCATAAAAACACAGTTCTAACATGCTTTAACTCTATTTGATTGCAAAATGGGTGTTTTTCATGGTTTAGTTATATAATTAGTAAATATTAAATAAAAATTCTTAACGCATAATGCTTTGAAATGGTTGAGATCTAATGAAACATGAACAGCTCAAAAATACAAATTATTTCATGTCAGTAGGGAATACTGTATTTTAATTCCCATCGACATCTATCTGCCAGGGCAAACTGTGTGAAAGCCGTCTCTAAGGGCAGCCTATACAAAGTCCAGTGGGTAAGCAAGCACTGATCCTAGTATGGTGATTTATTGAAAGTCCATTCTTCTCTGTTGATTTTTATCAAAGCCTAGATGATTTACTCAGGTGTGGAGTGACTTTTGCTGCCAACATGGTGGTTGTGGACAAGGAGAGTACCATGAGTGCGGAGGAAGACTACATGGCAGACGCCAAAACGATTGTAAATGTGCAGACCCTTTTCAGGTAAATGTCTCAGTAACTCAGCCCTGTGGCTTACTTACTACTAAATATTGGTGAAATATTTGACTCTGACTCTGTATATAAGAAATGAACATGAGACACTTACGCTGAAGTTATATTCATTCATTTGATCCTAAAACAAGTGCTTATTTAGCCTCCAATACTGGCACCGTATGGTTAATTTTTAACTCAGGGTCATTCTTTTAAAAATAAATAGAATAACAAATCTGTTTTCTGATATAGTTTAACAATAACAAATTCTAAATCCTGTGCAGTTGCAGTCAAGATTTATGAGAGACCATGCATGATCTAATTTTGGTTTTATGCCTGGCAGTGGCCAAAAGTATGCATTTACAATCTGGATTACTAAGAATGAAATATTGTAAGACTGTGAACAGATAATTTACCCATGTTCAGAACCAAGTCATGACCTTATCCTCACTATTTTCCTGTCTTTCATTTATTAAACTTACTGAGATAGGAATTTCCATTATGCTTATCTTTGGGTAAGAATGAAAACCAGAGAAAAGTCCATGTTATAAGCAAAGTCAAAATTACCTATAAATGAAGACATCTCTGTCACTTGAAATGGTTCTTTCTGAAATCATTTTAAAATGCAAATATCTAAAAGATCATTATTTTAGTTTTCTGAGTTTTGTGGGAGTCTAAAGAAAATATCTGAGCTACCAAATTATGGAAGTAAATAAAACAATCTGAACTCCTTCATCATCTTCCCTTGCTTCACCTTTATACTTTCATATTGTAGCAAAGCATATATTGAGGGTAATTATCAGTTTGTTGTTTGAGTTCAGAATTCAGAAGAGAAGGCTTAGATGTGAGTACCACTTAAGTTGATTATTTATTATATGATTTTAGGCAAATTACTTTCCTTCTCTAAACCTCAATGTCTTAATCACAAGGTTGTTTGGGATTTAAAAATATATAATGCTGTAGCACATGGCTGGTCATTTTCAGTTACTCAATGAATGTTAGTGACTAATTATTAGCACTATCATGATCACTTTCATGTGACAGAATAGAAAAACCAGACTTTGGAACAGTATAGCAACAAACTTCATCTGGAACCTCTATCCCCGAGGTTCCAGCAGACACTATGTGACTTTAAGTATGTTTCTTAACCTCATAGAAATTCAGTTTCCCTCATCTATAAAATGCATGTGGAAAATAATTAACCCTTCTTGCGGTGTTAATGTAAGGACCAGAAATTAAGTAGGTGAATAATCTGTCACAGCATCTGGAAAATTTACTCTGAACTTGCGTGAGAACCTCTTATTCCAGAAGAAGAAAAATGTACCCTCTAAAGTTACTGTAATGTGGCAATTCATTTAGAATATAGCTAACTAGTTATTGAACTAAATGAAATAGTACATTTAAAGGTCACATAGCACATGTTTAAAATATGACAGACATGTAAGTAATTTTTTTTCTCTAGAGAATGAAAAAAGAAGTTATAAGTGGAAAATTAATTCAGAGGGATGAGATTTATAGCCAGTGAACAAAGTGAAATCATACTTTTTGGTTCCATGCATGACAAAGCTAGTTACATTTTTAACAAGAGAGGATCCTTGGTCTGTTTGATTAAACATACCATTTTAATTTTCAACTTACCAGGAAATTATTTCTATTATGGTTTATTTTTTATTATGGTATAAAGTTTAAATTGATTTGATTTGGCTTTTATTATATAGTCTATGAATGAGTTATTTTGATTTCAAGATAATAATAAATAAATAATAATAAATCCCCATCTTACTGAAAGGTGCAAAGGCTCTAATCTTTTAAAACTAACTGACCAACTAAGAGCAGATACATGTGTGGTGGCATTATCATCATTTCACTAAGTACATAACAATATTTTTCAGGAAAAAAAAAATTCTATGAAACTTTTAAATAGAGTAGTCCTTAAGCTGCTGGTCAATGCATGCTAAACTAGACTAGTCTTACATAATAAAATAAAAAAGTAAGACACTGATAGAGCCCCATGATGTACGAAATGTTATTTATATGGACAAATGACCAAAATCATGCAGATTTGGTCATTTCATTTTATAGGTGCAGTCAGTTACCACTTTTGAGGTCACATTCCCACATTCCTTGAAGATTTTGGTTCTTGATTCACTGTGACTCTTGACAACCCTGTATCTACCATCATTCTTGATGATTTCAACAATTCTATGTAGACGATACTTTCAATATCTTACCTTATAGCCACCTGTTCTGGTCACAGCCTTTCCCTTGAAGTACCAATAATCCCCACCATCGTCTCAATTTCATTCAGGTCTATGAGTACTACTGTTTATTTTCTACTTCATTTCTTCTAATACCCCCAATTCTTAACAGTCCTGTGTCTCCACTGGAACCTACTATCCACTGGTTCAAATACATTTTCACTGTCCTTAGTCACCTGAGAGCTTTTCTTCCCTCCTTACCAGATTAAGTTCCAAGATCAATCATTATAATCACTCCTTAGCTGAAACCCTAAACAGATAATTACTGATTATCTGCTGTGGACTAATACCAATCTCAACTCTCTTTCCCATTCTCCCTTCCTCCACTCCTAGTTTTCTTTCAGGTTCTCTGCCCACTACCCTGCATGAAATTCCTTACAGACAGATGACTAATTCCAGAGGTAGAATCCAGTTATCCTCATAAGTGAACAATAGGCAACCAGAAATCTAGTCACAGTGGTTGGATACCAGGCTATTTAGGATTAAAGGGTAAGACTCCATAGGATAAAGAACAAGGAACAAGAAAGAGAAAAACAGAAAATGAGTAAGGCACAAGGAACAAAGAAATAAGTGTAGAGTCCAGAGTTGGCTTGGCATTTGGGGATTGGCTGACTAGGTATACCTTGTTTCTGGTCAAGTGGAGCATTTACGGGTATCAAATGACAAAACTAAAACGATTTAGTAACGAGCTTGATAGCCTTTATTCAAGGGAAAACAACCTGTGGATTGGAGAAGTACAGTGCTTCACAAGGTGGAACACTTTTCTGGAGAGATTTTGGGCAAGAGCAAGATTTATAGAATGTTAGAAGAGGCACCGTGTAAACAGCATGATGGGCTAGGAGGTCAGGCATTTCCTGGTCAGACTAGCAGGTCCTGTTTTTTAGCATAAGCTGAGCTAGCTAAAGCTGATTCGAGGATTGAGATTAGTGTATATTAGGTTTCCTTAATAGGTATTTACTGTAAATACATGTGACTTAAGTTTAGATTTGTGATGTGGGCTGGGGCACTGAGGCAGCCTCCGTTCTGTGGGTCCTGATATGCAAATTAATTTTATCACAGAGACACAAAAGTTATCTAAGTTTTGGTTTGCTGACATGGCAACCCAGCAGGAGAAGCTCTGTCTTGGGCCTAGAAATTTATTTCAATAATTTTATCTCTAAAATATCTCAGCTAGTCCTTATATCTTCATGAACAGCATTAATTTCCTCAGAGGAGAACCAAATTCTAATCTGCTTGGCATCTGTACGCATTCAGCAACTTAAGATGACCTTATGCTGTTGCTCTGTATGGGACGAATGCTACATTTTATTTTAGCGTTTGTAAAGGACCGTGTAGCTCTTTGGGCCCACGCCATTTTAACTTGAGTATTTTGACATTCCATTTTGCTGTGGGGGCATTTTCACTTTTACATTTTCAGCTTTTGAAACGACCTAAGGAATATGTTAGAAAAATCTTCAATCTGTGCTTGTATCAGAGCCCAGGAGACAAGAACGAGATGGAATTCAAGTATGAAATGAAAGTAACGGTGCTCTAATTCACGAGTTATTGATGTAATTAGTATCACCTGTTTGGCCAGTCTGGAATAAAGTTAAATTTGTTGTTATTCAGAGGCTCAAACTGATCACTTGAACCCCTGCTTAACTAGGACATACAGCTTCCCTTGGCAGGCCTTTATTCTTTCCAGATTGTCCAAGAACCTCTCAGAGGTACTCAGTCCCAAAAGACCAAAGGCAAAAATAGGAGAATCTCATTAATCCACTAGCAATATGTTTGGGGGTGGGGTTGGGGGTGGGGTTTAGGAAGAGTTAGAGGAGAGTTGGGAGCATGGGGAGAATTCCTTTTCATCTGGAATTGCGTTTATAACGTAAATGTAGTTTTATAATTGAAAACTGGACTATACAGTTCAGTGTGTCTTTATCCAGTGTGGCAATTATGGATTTGCTGGCTTGGCCCCTGCATGTTTCTTCCAGAGAATCCACTCAGGAAGCATTTCATTTTCCAGATCCAGAGTATAGAGCTTGGCATACAAAGTTTCAACGCTCAAAAATTTGATGAGCACTCCTGAAGTTTGTGCAATTTTCCAAATTGAAAGAAAAGCAGGTCCTCACTTTAAAATTTAAGTTTCTCTTGCTAAACTTTTACCTAAGAAGTACTTGGTATATTTGAAAATATTGCCTGTTTTTACAATTTTTTGAACAAGTGTTAATATCTAAACTAAATTTAAACAACCATGCCAAAATATGCCTTGAACTAAAAACAATTGCTTCAAAATGGCCACGTCGGACTATCAAAGTGCTCTACTTTGGGAATGTTTGGCATGTCAACGGCATCTCTCATTATTCTCATTTAACGGGGGAAAAAAGCAACATTGAAGACAACTTACTGGCTCATTCTATCCTATATAGGAAAAAAATGGCTGATTCCAACCAACGGCCTAAGTCTGCTTCAGGAAAAGGAAGATGAGAAAACTTTCTCTAGAAGTTGAGAAGCAGATATTTTTCTAGAGAGCACACAGGATAGTTAAACATTAGTTTAATACAGAATGGGTACAAATGTAAATACTTGTTAATGTTAAGAGACAAACTAAGGCATATTAAAAATTTTAAGAGTTTATCTGAGTAAAAATCAGTTCAAATTTGGCAGTGCCAGATAGGAAGTGGTTAGAAACACTCCAAGGACAGGAGTGAGGGACTTACAGAGAAGAGGCAGAAGCAAAGCAAGGAAATTATTTGGCAACAGCTTAAGAGGTTGTATTATTTGAGAAAGCCTAGTTGACTGTGATTGGTTGTCTTTGGTTTTGATTTCTTAGCCTTGAGGCATTTACAGGCTGAGATGTTGGCTTGCTTAAGTAGCCTGCTAAAGTATTAGGACCTCCTCAGTCTAATGGTCTCTTTATTTAATTTATTTAGCATTGATTTATCTGCATTGTAAAAGTCTAGAAGTGACTTAGTTCAAAAGTCCCTTGGGCTGATTTTGTTTTAATATGAAGATATTTTTGTTTTTGCTTTCCCCCCCCTAAAATTTAGCTGATCAAACTGCTAAGATAACTAGTGCTCTATCAGTGGAAACATTCAGTCAAGTCATGGATCTGTGATCTGTTTGGAACGGAGAAATTCCCGCATTAACCCCGTATAGGTCAGGAGGACCTCTACAAACACCTGCAGTTGTGATTTATTCACGTGGTATGATGGGGCATCTAGTAAGTTTGGGGACTATACAGGATGCTATCTCTATGGCTGCCGTGGTGCTGAAGGCAGACATAGTGATCAGGAGTGATTAAGGCTTCCTGGCCTTGGGTTGCTGATAGTCTACGCTGGGAACATATTAAACAAGTCATTTAAAAATTTAACTGGAGAGGGGTGCCTGGGCTCATTCATTAAGCGTCTGCCTTCGGCTCAGGTCATGATCCCAGGGTCCTGGGATCGAGCCCCGCATCAGCCTGCTTCTCCCTCTCCCACTCCCCTGCTTGTGTTCCCTCTCTCACTGTCTCTCTCTGTCAAGGAAATAAATAAAATCTTTAAAAAAAAATTTTAACTGGAGAATGAGAAGTGTGGCAACTACTGAAAAAAAAAGTAGAATGTTATATAGATCCAGACAACAAGAATATATGATCTCATCCAGTGGATCAAGGAACACCTCCCTGAGAAATTGATAATCTGTTTCTGCAAGATAGACAAAGTGGGCAGAGAGAAGAGGAGAGCATTCCACATGGGGGCAGCCTAGCCAAAGGCTCTGAGGTGATGGCTTTGCAGAGCTTTGTAACAAGTTGATCTTCATGACAGGAATAGAGTTTTAAAATATTGTTTTAGCTACAGTGTGAAAAGTGGTTTGGGGGAAAAGTAAGAGTGGGGAGAGCTGCTCATTTAGAAGACTTGCATCTCCAGGACGCTAAGAGCATAAATGGCAAGCTAAAAAAATAAAAAATAAAAAAGGGAATATTGTCTTCAGCTTGGCACAAGTAGTCATAGTCTCATTGAGGAAATAACATACCTATACACATGGAAAATGACATAATTGAAAATATTGATAATGAATATGTATAAATACAAGAATGATTCCTTTATATAGTATACAAATATTTTTTATTATTTTGATTGGTTTACATGGATAGATTTAAATACAGGAGATATCTGATATTTATTATAGTCTCATTTATTACTAACTTGGACTCAGACCTAAAGTGTTTAAAAAGTATTTGTAAAAAAATATATTCATATTTATTTTCGTGTTGATAGTCAGTTGTAGTCTAAAACTAGTGTTTCATGTATCTAAGTGTATGTGTGTACCTATATATTAATGTATACCCCCCATTACTCAGAAACATCATTCCCAGCCACCACAACAGATCAAAACTTATAGTGTAGCACACTAGCTCAGTATTTTTATTAAAATATTGTAAACATTTCCCAGATTTGTATGTACTTATGTTTGTTTTGCTTGAATATGTAATTGCAGCTAGTCTCAGAGTTCTCCCAGTAGTCTGGGAAATAGAGTATATAGTGTGTTTTTCATCTCTGTATTGGTTAGCATACCTGGGAATGTCTGTCAAAAATACTTTTTGAATAAATTAATTCAGGCAGAGAACTATTCCATAGAGATTTTGCACATCTCCACAATGATACTTACATCTCTCAATCAGAACATAAATTAATTGTAGAAAAGTTTTAAATAGAAAAAACTATATCATTTTTCAACTATAATATTGCTTTATTATTATCCTCATACCTGGGGAAGATAGACTTTTTATGTCATTTTATTTCTAGAATGTCTTATATTCAGAATGTGTTTTAAGCCATGTTAAGGCCCAGAAATAGATTTATAGTTTAGTATTTTAAAGATATATAATTAAATCTATTTCAGAACCAAATTTATAAATGTATTATAATTGAATGTAAGTAATACTTTGTAGATATAAAAGGCAATGCAATAAAACATTTCATTATTTATGTATTTTTAGTTACAGATTTTCACTAGATGGCAGACTTAGATAAATGCATTCACTTTCTCAGTTTAAAATAACAATGGTACAGATTCATTTATACAGAACAGAAATGGTACATCATATGCACTTTTTTTGGTTCTATCTAATTTCCACTCTCTAAGTCATTTAAGTACAATGACCAGGTCACTCCGTCATATTACCACTCACTCTTACTCCAACCTCAAATATATAGCTATATATATAATGTGATATAATGTGTTAGAAAAGGATTATATCATCCAAGTAATCATAAATGCATACAAAATTAGAATAATAATATCTATGAAAGATAAAAATCTGTATTTCTCAGAGAAGATGAAAATTTCCCAAAAGATGAAATAAATTTTTGTCGGTTTGCAACTATGTTTTTCTCACAAATTACTTTTCTAGCCTTATATCTCAGCACTGTCCTAGATGCTTCTCATAAGCTATCCATTCACTGGTGTCTTAATGCTACATAATCTGTGAAGACTCAGGCAGCCATATTTATCACCCCTAGAAAAATATGTACAGCCTTATAATTTATAAATTTTTGTAGTTCTCTGTAGGTAGTAGGGTCTAATTTAAAGGCAAGAGTTTCACTTTATACTTCTTTTTATGTCCTGGAGACCAGAGCTGTCCAATCACAAATACTTGAAAATGACTTGTTAACTTAGATATTAAATATTGCCTTCAGTAAGTAAAAATAACAATAATGAAGTTATGATCTGACAACTACTATCATGTGTGTATGTGTGCACGTGTGTGTGTGTGTTTGTGTGTGTTTTGGGGGAAGGAGGTGAATAGGAAGAAAGTTAATGCAAAGCTATGGGGTTAAAACTCAGGATCCTTTAGAATAACACTATCAATTGAGCCTTGGCCTCAATTCATTATAATGAAATGTTATTTCAGCTGAACTATTTTCTCTTCTCAGAAGTTCATGGTAGCAAGATTTGACATTTAAAATTGCATACTTTGAGAATAGGGAATCTTAGAAGATCAAAGAACTCATATTATGGACAATAAGCTCATCACATGATATCTTTGTCAATCAGCATATTCATCTTACAAATTTCTATTTTAACATTATCCACAAAGTCACCTTGTAGCTTCTTATATCAGCTTCATGAGTTTCTCTTCTATGCCATTTCATAATTGTAGAGAGAAATGTCTAATAAAAGCCAAATTACTAAATTTATTTTTCTTCTAGTGCTAAAATGTTGGTTAAAATATTCTTTGGAAAATAGTGTTCCATTTTTCTTGCATTGTACGGACAGTTTATGTGGCAATGCCTGCTGCTGTTAGTGTAATGCAAATTTTTTGTTTGTTTGTTTTTAACGTAGGTTGTTTTCCAGTCTCAGTATTATCACAGAACTTACTCACCCAGCCAACATGAGATTCATGCAATTCAGAGCCAAAGACTGTTACTCTCTTGCTCTTTCAAAACTGGAAAAGGTAAGACTTCATATTAAGGAAGTTGCATTTAACTATTTCTCCTGAAGGAGTAACTCTGAAATTCCTATTGTAGAAAGAAATGCTATGAGGTAGTAAAAATAAAAATGCTGTTTTGAATTCTTATTTTGGATCTAAAATCTTAGTTTACAATTTCTTAATGTGAATTGATGGATTTGAACCATTTGTATCACAAGTGAACATAATGAAAATATCTTGTTCTCTTGTCATTTATTATAAATCGAAAGCATGATCTATGAAAGAGCTAAATGCAACAAGAATGCATATGCTCACTTATAATGTCAGTTATATTGTTAATATCATGAGTGCTATATCAAGAAATCTGTGTTTATAGAGGGCTTTGCAGTTTAAAATAATCCTTAAGGCCCTAGAAAAGTTGTAGGCTTTGTTGAAAGTTAGCTTCCCAAATGTCACCAACACAATCTGAGACAAAGCTGAGTTAACTGCTTACTTATTTAAGGGAGACCATCACCTCAGGAGAGCTTTGGCAATGCTTCAGAACTGGGGAAGCAAAGTCAAAGTTTCTTGAGTCTAGGAAATCTTATTTAATGAGGGTCTTTGGAATGGGGGTTTGATTAGGTTTGGGAAGGGAACAAGGTAATGTGAATGGACAAAGTAGGATTCTAAAGTCATGTTATATGGCCAGAAAGGTGTGGTTTCCATTCTTAATGTCTAGCCTCAGTGTGGCTATAAATGGGATTTTGCATCCAGCGTTTACTTGATATTAGTATACTGGAAGAATCTGATGTAAGAGAAATCAATAAGATTCAATCTTATTCATGTGAAAATGTGTTAAATCTATGCCATCTTTATTGTTTATGACAATATAAAACGTACAGAAAACGATGCCTTACATTTGTTATTGTTGTTTGGTTAGTTCATTTTTTCATGTGATTTTGATTACCTGTTATGCTCAACATTGTCCTAATTGCTAGGAGACATATTGCTGAACAAGGGCCATTACTGCACTCTGGTTTGTTGATTTCCATCTTCAGTCAGAGCCGGTCACATATGTTGTTAGCAGAGCCTTCCCATGGTTCCTTTGTAGTCATAGTTAAGGTGCTGTTAGGCACTGCCTTCAGAAGAGGAACCTGAGTGTAAGACAGGTAAAATAACTTTTCCAAGATTATACAGCTATCAAGTCAGTGCAGTAAGAGAATCTTAAGGACGTTATGTTCAGGACAGAAAACTTCCATTATGCCCCACGGCTTTAACAACATGGAAAGGGTGGCAAGCATGGCTAGATTGGCTCAGCACCTGCAAGCAAACCCAGTTATCAGGAATCCAGCTGGAATCAGTGCTGACATGGTATCTGATGGGTCTCCTTTGCTGCAAACTAGGATTACCTAGTGATGAAGAGTATAGGCTCTGGAGTCAGATGGGCCCATTTCTCTACTACTTTCTAGGAATGGAACCTGGCTAAATTATTTACACATTGATAGCTTTGGGATTCTTCTCTAGTAATAGTGGTGATAGCTAAATAATAAGGTTATTGCAAAGATTACACCACATGATCTATCCAAAACATTTAGCCCGGTTTTGGCATATAATCAGTATTCAAATAAATGGTACTACAAACATAATTATAAATTACTGTGGATGTCACTAATAAATATTCCATTCTGTGTATTCAATTTTACGCCAAGTGAGTGGATGTTTCAAGGTCATAATTGTGGAAGATGTTTTCAATAGTGTTGAGTGTGTATGTCTATATTATTGTGTGTCTATTGCATTAAGGAAAAAGAAGAACAATATGAGATTAAGTCCCTTGTTGGGAATTAATTAAAAATAAAGTCTTCTACCAACCTAGAAATCCTCTTCACAAATGTAGGAAAATTTTACTTGAATAAGCATTAAACCAGACTGTGATATACATCTTAAGAAATCCACTAAAGAGATTACAAAAATAGAAAGGCATCTCACTCTTTTATATAGCTAGGCAAATACCATCACTTGCATACATGTTAATTGTCTTAATGTAAAGGAAAAATAAAACTTCTTGTATCTTTGCAACAAGCAAGAAGTTACAACTTCCAGCCAGATACCTAGACTAACATCCCCAAAAGACAGAAAGACAGGATGCTTTATGCTCGCATTTCAGAAAGATAGTCCCAAGGCTTCCAAGAAAGACTTCACTGAGATACAAAACTGGCTAGAGATTATTCAGGTTTTCAAAAGGTTTGCATCCCTCTGAAAGCGACATAAAAAGGATTTACATTCATAAGTTTTCTAAAGGAAATGCTCTAGGAAAAAGAAGAGGAAGAAGGGAGTTTTCTTCTCTTTTGGCATCAGGGAAATTCATTTATTTTTTAGATTTGTATTTACTCTTACATATACTAGATATTTCCTTAAAAGAGTAAAGGAATTCAGTATATTCTCTAATTATTAAGGAGTAGAGGGGCTTGGGTACTTGGAATTGAAACCAGTTGGTTTGGAGGTTATAAAGCCATAGAAAATTCTTTTCAATTCAGTTCTTACCATTTTATCCATTGAAATAGGGATTTTGTCACATAGAAACTTTTTAGACTTTAGTGCTGTTAATGGCTTAAATGGTATTCCTCCCCCCAAAAAAGATGTGTTGGAGTCTTAGTCTCTAGTACCTCTGAATGTGATCTTATTTGAAGATAGGGTTTTTATAGAGGTAATTAGATTAAAGAAGGCCATTGATGTGGGCCCTAATCCAATACAACTGGCATTCTTATAAAGACGGTAAATTTGGATACAGAAACAGACACAGATAAAGGGAAGACTATGTGAAGAGAAACAGGGAGAAGACAGCCATCCACAAGCCAAGGAGAGCAGCCTGGAACAAATCCTTCGCTTACAGCCCTCAGAAGCAACCAATGCTGCTGACCCCTTGATTTCAGATTTCCAGCCTCCAGAACTCTGACACAATAAATTTCTGCTATTCAAACTACCCAGTCTGTGGTACTTTGTTGTGGCAGCCCTAATAAACTAACATATGTGCCATCAATGATATAGTAACTGTTCATTTCCAATCAGTGCTTTTTATCTGATACAAATACAGCTAACTTAGTAATTATCTTTCTGTATTTGTAGTCTGGATACAAGGAGATATTTTTAGGCTTGGGAAATTGATCTTTATTTCTGGTATTGAATAATATTCCAAAGTTATTATTGGCTGAGGAATAGGTAGGTTTTTAATCTTTCAAACGTATTTATGAATATCCTTTTATTCTATCTATAATTAGATGCATTTTCACCTTCATAGATAAAGCCTTCACCTTTAGAAACATAATCAAGGTTTTGAATTACAAAACAAACAACAGCTCGGCTGCTTGACACACTTTTTTGACACTAAGTTGTTTTCATTTAAACTTAAGAAGTGCTAGAATTTGTTAGAACGAGTGTGGAAGATTAGATTGCATTGACCCTGGCTGGTTTACTTGTATGATGATTATGTTTGGGTGGTTTCCTGGTAGACCTTGAATTCTAATAGAACACTCGTTGCCACTGGTATTGGAAGTGATTATCTGTAAGAACTCTCTGGAAGAGACCACTCACTGAAGAATATCCACAATAATAAATTTCATTAGGAAAAGGAGAGAACTGAGAGCACAGAAGGATCACTGGTCTGTGACAATGATGTGAGCAATGAATGAATGATTGTTGAGGACCCCTGTCTGTTCTTGTGAAAAGGAAATTCCTTGATTATTCCTTGATTATTTTTTTAGATTTGCTGTCTCGAGGAATTCCCTTGTCTGTTGTTTTATGTGACCTTTGTGTCACCTCAAGCTTCTTCCTGAGCTGTTTTTAATCCATGTCACTTTGGGAGTACATACTTCCTGCAGCCTGTGTGAATTTTTATCCTGCTTATTGCGTATGCAAGTTTGAAAAAAATCTAAAAATTTTTAAGCTTATGAAAGCATTTTTCCCCTAAACTTTTAAAGTCTAAAGATTTCTTAGAGGAGTCTGCTAATTTCTTTCAAAACTTGATAAACTTCTGGTATACTTACTTCCATAAATTTTTATGACCAGATGATCCCCAAAGTTCCTTCTTAAATATAATTTTTAAGTTCTTTATTTGTTTGCCTTCTTAACCCATGCATCTCTCTATCTCTTTGGAAGCTACCTTTGAGGTTATTAAGACAATAGTGCTGGGTTGGACCTTGTTGTTCAGTGCCTTGTTTCAGTTTTCTCTCCTGTTGGCATTTAGAAGTGCACAATTTTTATTTTTTTTATTTTTATTTTTTTTTAAAGATTTTATTTATTTATTTGAGAGAGAGAATGAGAGAGAGAGAGAGCTTGAGAGGGGTAGGGTCAGAGGGAGAAGCAGACTCCCCGCTGAGCAGGGAGCCCAATGCGGGACTCGATCCCAGCACTCCAGGATCATGACCTGAGCTGAAGGCAGTCGCTTAACCAACTGAGCCACCCAGGCGCCCCAGAAGTGCACAATTTTTAAATATTAGAGGCTCCTAATCTCTGAGCTCCCTGTTTATTTTTAGTCTCTACTTGAAAATAATTCTTGCTTGAGCTACTGTCTTCTTGAAATGTACAACTAAAGGCAGCAAATAACAGTATATACACACCAATAGTAAACAGATGGAAGTTTTTATGGATCAGGTCTGGGAGTGACACACAGACTTCCACTAATATGCCATTGGCGAGAACTCAATCCTTTGGCCACACCTAACTTCAAGGGGGACTAGGAAATGTAGTCCAGTCATATGCCTATGAAGAATAGGGCAATGGATTTTGGTAGACAGTCCACATTCTCTGTCACGTGCAATATACCACAAATTTATGAAATTTGTCAAAACATTTTCTGAACATCTGAGCTTTAGCTTGCATTTTCCCTTTGTTGTTGTGCACTTTTGTTCTTGAGTTGTTTTGTTTTATATTATCCTTTTTTGTCTTGGATATTCCCATCACCACCATTGTTTTCCCAAAAGTACTTCCCATGTTCGGTCATTGGTTATGTTGGGTCATTGACACTTCCTCTAAAAAAATAGGTGTAGCAG